AACACATGCACAAAGTAATGCACAAAGCTGAATTTTAATTAAAAAAAAAAAAAGAACAGAACTCTCCCCGTGGGAATCTGTTATCCTCCTAGCAGAATGCCTTGGGAATCGCTGGGAGCAGGGGTGGGCTGCAGCTGACTTGCACCAGCTTGAAAGAGCTGTTGTTAATTTTTCAGGAATTTACCAAACAGGTTGACATTATGTTGTTGGTTTGAAATCAGCATGTTGGGGGTATTTACACTTCGGAAATCAATAAATGATATAAATCCCCCCAGAGAGCCGCTTGTTAGGTTTTTACCAGCATACCACAGCCTGGAAGCATCCGGGTTTTAATTAGCACCCTTCACCTACTTCAGGGACCTTGGTAGAGCTAATGGGGGAAAAACTGGGAGTAGAGTGGGTGTAGAGAAGGAAGATGGGCAATATAGAAATAGAGCAAGTAATAAACATGCTACAGATGGTGATTCCAGCATCTGGCTGCATGTGAGAAGTCCCCGGGGGAACTTTTAAAAAGAGAGACTTCTAGATTAGAGAAGCACCTGGCACATTTGACCCTTGGAGCAGATAAACACCTCCCTCCTCTGTGTGACCAAGTTATTTTAATAATTCCATATGCTGATTAATTTAGCATTGTTTACTGATTGTATTATCTATATAAATTGTTATGTGTAATTTACAATGTGTGTTATATATAATGAAGTGAAAATATTATTTTCTTGTCTCAGTTTTAGTTTATAAATAATTAACAATTAAAAGAAAGTTCAGTTTTCGATTAAAAAATATTAGTCAACAAAGTAGATCATGTATGAAGCAAGATTTAGCCTTGGCAAAATATAATCTTGTATCTCTTGCTTTTTGTTCTGTTACACTGTTTTAAATCTGAAACGCTAAGAATAAACCTCCTGATGATTGCATAGAATGACAGAATCGAAGAAACTCAAGTTCTGTTTCTTAGTCTTGACCAAGACTATTGCCATGTGTTATTCTTGTTTATTTTAAATTTACTGGTTAAATTCAGGGAAATGTAGTGCCACGGGTGTTGAGAACACAAATGAAGCCAAAAGCAAATTTAAACTTTCACTGTTAAAAACTTTCTTCGTGTGCAGGTGAGACCAAGTGCTAGGGCTGAGGGTGTAACTGAGAAGGTCTCCAAATTTACTTCCATGTACCCCATGATGCATATTCAAGGATAAGTAACAATAATGTGTATTTTGAAGCTTGTATAAATGTTATTTAAATTCAACAGTAACTGCTTAGAACTTAGGCCAAAACAGATTTTTTGAGGAAAAAATATTTTATCACTGACATTGTTTAGAACTGCAGCCCATGGTGATAAAAGAAAGCAGACTGACTTTTCGTTGGTTCTATTATTGTTCAAGACACCCACTTGCTGCCTGCACCTGGGGGTACTGCACTCTCTTCCCTGCCCTTGGCACATCGATGCCTAGACCCCACCTCCAACTGAAGTATTTAGAATGTCTTGGGGGTGGGGGCTTGATGACTATTTTTGTAAAAACGTCTTTCGTGTGATTCTAATGATCAGCCAGGTTTGAGAGCTACTGGCATGGGAACAACAGGGACAGAAATACGACTTGAAATCAAGGGGGGAGGTTAAAACACCCAAGGAGCTGCTTCAGTCTCTAAATTCTAAAACCGCCACTCTTTGCTGCAATGATTGATAGATACACCATCATTGAGAACAATTGTATTAAAAGGACCTCCAAGGGCAATTGTAGAAAGTTCTCCCCCTGTATCATGAGAAAAATATCCAGCACATAGATACTTAACATGCTAAAACAAGAAAGCTTACTCCTTTATTTAGTGATAAATTAAGAGTCTTTTTTAAAAAATTTATTTCTAATTTAATTTTTTCATATCAACTGGATCTTTACGGTTGCTTTGGTTGCTTTGTTCCCTCCCGAAAAAGTCAGAATTGTTTTTTAATTGTCAGATGTTATTTCTTTGTTCATATCCCTGTGGATGGGCTTCCTACCTAGAGATCAGACTAAAGCCCCAAATCTGGCATTAGTCACACAGCCTTATATCATGGGCCCTCCCCTTGATTCCATCATTGGTTCCTCTCTGAATGTATCACTCATTCCATTCCAACCACAGTGGCCTCTTGCTGTTTCACCTCAGGACCTTTGCACTGGCTGTTCCCTCTGCCTGGAACATCTGCCCTCATGAATTTCTATGACTCTCTCATTTGCCTCTTTCACATTTATGTTCAAATCACTCACTGATATGAAAGAGCTTTATATATTTTATTTGTTTATTTTCAGTTTCCTCTGTTATATTTTTAAAGGCAGAATTTCTAAGTAGCATTTAGTGCTGTATTTCCAGTGCCTAGCCTCTGTCTTTCCCATAGTTGGCATTTAATAAGCATTTGTTGAATGAAAAAATGGCACTTGGATAATAATAATAATAATAATAATAATAATAATCAACTTATAAAAAGCCTCTTTGCCCCAATCCTTCCTACTCAATCACACTTGTAGAGGCAACCACTTAGAATTCTTAAAGCTTTCTTCTGCTAGTTAGCTGTCGATCTCTGAATAATAGACTCCAACTTACATTTCTTGATTTCTTCAATTTTAGCATCACCTACTAACCCCTGCTGTGACAGAGCTGGATTTGATTTGCTTGCACTTTCTTAATCACCCCAATGTAGTTATTATACCTATTTTTAGTTTTTTATTGATTATACTTGTAACTTACTTATACTCTGCCGTGTTTATTTTTATTTCTTTGATATAGTATCTATTGTCTCCTCAGTTTCTGAGATGAAGATATTTGCTCCTTACTTTTTTGTTCCACTCTCCACTTTCTTATCCACTGTTATGGCTTGGATGTGAGGTGTCCCCCCAAAGCTCATGTGTGAGACAATGCAAGAACATTCAGAGGTAAAATGATTGGATTGTGAGCCTTAACCCAATCATCGAATTAATCCCCTCATGGAATTAACAGTGGTGACTGAAGGCTAGTAGGGTGTGGCTGGAAAGGTAGGCATTGGGGGTGTGCCTTTGGGGTACATATTTTGAGTCTGGCAAGCAGAGTCTCTCTCTGTTTTCTGATCATCATGTGAGCTGCTTCCCTCCACTAATACTCTTCCGCCATGATGTTCTGCCTCACCTTGAGCCTTGAGGAATGGAGCCTGCTGTCTATGGACTGAGACCTCTGAAACCGTGAGCCGCCATATAAACTTTTCCTCCTCTAAAATTGTTATTAAAAAATCTTTTATTGTAAAGTCTTTTTCACAGCAGTGAAAACACTGACTAAAACATCCCCCAGAAGTTCACGTATGGATAATATAAGAAAGTTTAGAGGTAAGATGATTGGGTTATGAGAACCTCAACCTAATCAGTGCATTAAGGGATTAACTGGGTGGTAGCTATAGGCAGGTAGGGTATGGTTGGAGGAGGTGGATCATTTGGGGTGTGCCTTTGGGGTATATATTTTGTCCCTGGTAAGGGGAATCTCTCTCTGCTTTCTGGTGAAGGGAGTCAGTCCTGAGCTGCTTCCCTCTTCCACACTCTGCTGCCACGATGTTCTGCCTGACCTTGGGCCCAAAGCAAGTGTCGGCCATTAATGGACCTAGACCGCTGAAACCGTGAGCCCCGAATAAACTTGTCTTCCTCTAAAATTGTTCTTGTCAGGTCTTTTGGTCACAGCAGCAAAAAGCTGACTAAAACACTGGCCTCCCAGTTTTCATATATTTTCTGATTTGTTTTCATCACCACAATGTGTCTTGGATTTCAAGTCTAGTTACTACAGTCTTCAAAAGGGCCTCCAGGAAAGTGTGGCTGGTACTAAATAACCCTTCACTTCCCTCTGGTGTCCATTTTAAAGTAGTAGACAGTGTAGAATGAGGTTGAGATCTGGCCAGGAGAGGCTGGAGGGCCAGTAACGCCCCTTGGAGGCTCGCTGCCAGGACAGCCTTCTGTGGTGGGTGCACCAAGCTTTCAAGGGCCTCAGCTGTACATGATGCCTGCTGCGTCCTTAGAGGACCTACCTCCTGGGGAAGGACTCAGGTTAGCCAGGTTTCCAAGGCTGATGTGCCACCATATGCCTTTCCAGTGAGTAACGGAGACATTATTCCAAAGTGGATGGGCATATTGGCTAGATTGATGAACATTCTCCTAAAGACAGTCTTTTGTGAGGAGCCAAATTATAATCAAAGATGAGGAGGTGAGCATAGACCAAAACAAGGAGTTAGACAAAATGAAAGTCAGATCAGGTAGCCCTGATCTCTCCCTCACAAGGGAGAAAGGGCTTTGCCAGTGTCACCACAATTCCTCAAGTTTTGATGTCTGTGACCTCCTCTGCTGGGACTTGTTTCTCCGTTGTTGTTTCTCCATCACCCATCCATCCATCCATCCCTGTTTGACCAACATAGATTTTATAATTTTCCACAGTTCTTATTACAATCAAGTGCAATTGTTCTGTGAGCCATTCTCCTTAAGGTCAATTAGCACGTGCCCGTATTAAAATAGCTCCCTGAGAGCATCTTATTTTCCTCACTTCTAAATTCACAGCCAGTCATATCATGTTGCCTTCAGGTAAGAATATAATGCCTATTTTCTAATGATTGAAGACATCCTGAAAATTCAGTGTCTCATAAATACAGCCAGCTGAGCATCGTATTTCGGTAGTAAGCATATTTCTGAAATGGATGGAGGCATTTCTGCTACAGCGGGAGACTGGTTGGATGTCAGACCGGGTTCATGCTGGGCCTCAACATGTTTATAGCTTTGCAACGTAATGATTCACCTCTGATGGTCTGTCAGATCTTAAGGGGAACCGAACAAGGAATATTAGAGTTAGCCTTCTCTGCATAGGGTTCCTTTTGTATTGCTTACCGTTGTACAGAGCTGCATAATATATTGGTTTATGATACAGTGAAATGCATGGAAGGAATTGGAAAAATAAGACCAAAATGAAAAATTTAAATACATCCACTTATTTGTTGAACATTTAATTAATAATTATTGAACACTTACTATTTTCTAGGTCTTGCACTAAATCCTTCAGATATCTTACAGTGATGAAGAAGGAAGATTCCAATATCTGATCCCATGAAGCCAATAATCTATAAGATAAGAGGTAATTAAACAATATTTACACAAGTACTTGAGTAATTTTAACTGTGAAAAGAGCTAGGAAAGAGAACAGACTACTATGAAAACGTGAAACAGGAAGGATTGACCTTATCTGGAGTAAGTCTGGTGAGTTGGAGACAATATTCCTAAGGGGTGTAAGTTGACACCTGAAGGATGGGTATGAATTAACGTGGCCAGTTTGGGAAGAACGATTCGCATGAGTGAAAACTCAGAGGCAGGCAGCAGCACAGCCTAACACTGATGAAGGGACTTAGATGTGAAAGATAAGCCTTGGAAAGCAAATCATAGCGTTCCTAGCTGGTAACAATGCCAGGCATGCACACATAAAGATGGTTCAGTCAATGGCAGACTGCAGATATGATGGGGTCTCGTAATATTGTACTGGAGCCAAAAATTTCCTAGTAACATTGCTGGCATCTCAGAGTCTAGTGCAATGCACCAGTTTAATGGTTGTGGAGACGCTGTGTACACAAACCTGTGCTGCCAATCATATAAGGCCATCACATACAATTATGCATGGTATACAATACTTGCTAATAATCACCCATGTTGCTGGTTCATGTATTTACTCAAGCATACTTTTTGTCATATTTTTCTAGTGTACACACACACACACACACACACACACACACACTCAGGTCATGTTGGCAGCAGCCTTGTACACTTCATGTTTACCGAGTCTCTTGATTGCATCATTCTCTGTGGTGTTTGCTTTGATCTCATATTGTTTTGTTCATCATGACCCTGAGATCAATAGGCTGTGTGTGTTTGTGTGTGTATGTGTGTGTGTGGGAGAGAGAGAGAGAGGCTATATCATCTAGGTGTGTGTAAGTACACTTTGTGATATTTACACAATGACAAAATTGCTTAATAAAAAATTTCTTAGAACACGTGACTGTGTACTACTTTCTGAATGGAGGTATCATATGGGTAGAATGTGATAGGCAAAAAGTCAAGATTCTAGTCTATTGAGATAGTAAATATTTTGAGTAAATTAATATTTCTAAGAGCTGGGGCTTCATCTATTCCATCCCATATGATTTTAATAACTTTGAAATAAACATTTCTCTTACAAACTGGAATGACTAAAATTTTCTTGGAGAATGAATATCAGAGAATTTGGCCATTCTCATGACGAAATGCTTCCTACCTATGCCCTTTGGAGTTCTTCGTAGTCTTTAGGACCAATTTTAATAATTAAGTCTACCTTAGAAGAATGTGTCTAATTTGTAAAGGTCTTGTGATAAAAGAATAAAAGATCAAAGGAAACAAAGTTCAGATTCCAAAACTACCAATGGTAGGTATGATTGGATATTCTTTCTTTCTGTTTTCTTTTCTTTTCTTCTTCAGGTCAAAAGCATCATTTTAAATTCACTTTGTTGTCTATCACACCCATATCCTTCTTGCTTCAATTCTTCCTGTGCCAAATCTCCCCATACTGACCCATACTCTATTTCTAGTTTCAATTTTTGGGGAGGTGGGGGGTGGGGCCGGGGATTGAACTAAGGGCCACTCAACCACTGAGCCACATCCTCTGAGACTTTTTTTGTATTTTATTTAGAGACAGGGTCTCATGAGTTACTTAGGGCCCTGCGTTTGCTGAGGCTGGCTTTGAACTCATGATCCTCCTGTCTCAGCCTCCCAAGCTGCTGTGATTTTAGGTGTGCACCACTGCACCTCTCTCAATTTTTCAATTTTTATTGTTCTTGTCCTTCCACAAGAATAGGTATGTGTGTTGTGCAATTGTGTTTAGTTGTATCCATATGTATGTTATTGAGGTAAGAATGTCTATGATTATGTGCAAGTGTAAAGCTACTTACTTAGGTAGGTGTCCAAGCACATGTAAATAAATGGATAGGTGTGCAAGGATCCTGTCATTATAACAGTATAGGGCTGCACTGCCTGATCTAGTTGGCCACTAGCCACATTTGCCAATGTAAGTTAACAAAAATTAAAAATCCAGTACCTCTGTTGAGCTAGCCACATTTGAATTGCTCAAGTGGTGGACTTTCCCACCTATTATATCAATGTAACTTATGAAAAGGTGTGACCTGTACAGGTCTGGCCAGCGATGTATTAAAGTTTGGTAACATGATCCATATAAACATTTTAGCCTTCATTTTCTCACAAATATTTTAGTAGATCCAAAAACTCAGTCCTTGTAAATTCATTCAAATGTCTTGCTCTTCTATGTTTAGCACCCTTAAATTACTTGGGGTTTCTCTTTCTTCTTCCCTGTCTCTGCCACGGTGGTCCTTCACTCCCTTCTCTTTTCTGTGCCACATCGCAGTCTGCATAGGCTCCAGGTGAATCACATCCTCACCCCCACAAAACACCCCGGGGAGTGAGGGGTGTGTTTTATACCAATTGTTTTTCTCATAAGAATCAGAATTTTTCCCTTTATTTAACAGAAAGTTAAGGGAGGAATAAGGAATATTAGAGAGCAAAGGTAGAGAGAGGATGGTGTGAAGCTCAAACATCAATAAGCTTTGCCCATCACATGTCAACTGAAATGTACAAATGAAGCTCTATGGGGTCCCACTGTTGAATGACTTTGATTCCCAATTCGTCTTATTGCCAATATTCTTACAAATAATTGAGCTAAAATATTCCCATTAGGTAGTAAGAGGATATCTTGAGGAAGTGAGTACGAAAAGCATTTTTCTTATTCTCCCAATGCCCCAATTATATAGAGTAAATAATGAGGGCTTATAAAAATTGGTTGGCTTCCAGGGCACAGGCTAGTCTGTGGAAGATGGATGAGATATCATTTTATACAAATAAATTAATGGAAAAGACATTGCCTCATGCAATGTCTGGCACATAGTAGGGTTCAATGAGAGGGCCCAATGACAGGATAAATCCAGTCAGCTCAATTGTTGTCAGCTTTGCTGACACACCAGAAGCATCTGGAGTACCAGAGAAAAAATTATTCTCTGGTTCCCTCCTCTAGGAATTCTGATATAATGGGTCTTTGGCGTGGTCTGAGCACTGTCATTTTAAAAAGCCCACCAAGTGATTCTACTGTGTAGCCAAGGTTTAGATGCACACCCTGGTCTATAGGGAAACCATAAAGCCTAACATTTTCCCTTTAGATCTTTACAGTTATGCCACGTCATCCTTAGCTTGGCCATGAGGTTGGAAGGTCTGGGACTGATTGGTTTAAGATAAACATTTCATTTTGAAACATTTCTAGTAGATGTGTTCTGCTAGATATTACAAAGTTGTATATGTGCACGTGTGTGTGTGTGTGTGTGTGTGTGTGTGAGAGAGAGAGAGAGAGAGAGAGAAAATTCTTCTGAGACCTTTGAAGTTCTATGTCCTAGCAAAGTTTCCCACACTTAGAAGTTAGGGAACTGTCCCTCAAGTTGCACTCTAGTTTTACATCCAGATCCAAAATGAAAGTGACAGTAATTATTAGCATAAGTCAGCAAGCAAAATGTAACGGCCAGAACAGCTGGCCTGATAGTTCTCAATGGTGCTTTTAGTTTTATATGTCCACCAGGTTCAAAATCAGCTTATTAATTCTGAAGCAGCTTAAGGAAACAGAGACAGTAGGGAATCATTCATTCATTTATATTTTCATTCAACAGCCATCTGCTGAACATCTTCTCCAGTTGGGTTGGTCACACAATGGTGGCTAGATTGCATAGCCTGTGTTCTCAGTCTAATGGGAGAGAAGGATAAGTAAAAGAGCAATTGCACTGTGAATATGCAGTGATGAGGGAAGACAGATGCTGTGAGAGGCAAGGTTGGGACAGCCAACCCAGGCATGGTCATCAGGTGGGGGAGTGGAGATGGAGAAAGTCTGTTGGGAAAAAAAAATTACTTTGGGTGAAGTGGAAGCCATGGAAGTAAACTGCTTGGTTTTCCCTTTGAGAAAGAACTTGCTGTCTAGCTCCTGAGAGTGCAGTTTTCTGGTAGCATCAGATGTTGGTCTCTCAGAATTGGCCCTAGCTTTCAAGCCGAGTCTGTGTTCTTCTAGACTGGGGAACAGCCTTGTCCTTCCTCCACATAATAGTGCAGAGACAAGAGTGATGAATCAAAGGAAAGAGAGAAGAGGGGGATAAGGGAGGGATTGTGGCTCAGACCATGGAGGGCCTTGGAGGCCATAGTGAAAACAATGGCTTGTACTCGAAGTCATATGGAGTGGGAGAGGGCTTTAAGTGGGCCATGACCTAGCTTATTTATCTTTGATTGTATTCTCAGCCCTTGACTTTGCTCCAGTTCACCTCCTCCCCTTCAGTTGATGACATCTAGCCCTCCTGAGGACTGACTGACTTCTAGGAAAGCAATGCTCCTTCCTGGTGACTCCTAGTCTGACAGCTTTGGGCAGGCTTTGTGAAGTGGGAGTTCCAAAGAAGCCCTCTGACTCCCAGAGTGCTGTATCCTCATGGGTGAGACTATGCAGATTTTTGTACCTAAAAGTTCTGGAGGTCATCAAGCACCTAAGCTAGGAAGTATGCCAGAGGAAAGCCCAGAAAATCTTCTATGGTGACAGGCAAAATAACTGGCTTTTATCCTTGGAAAAGGAGCCACTTTCCTACCTAACTCCAAATTACAATTCCCTTCCCTGACTTTCTTTGGTTAGCAGTGAGCTTGACAGAAAGATTGCCATGGAAAGGTCTTGGTTGATGTGTACCCCTAAATGTGGAGCATAGGCGTTTATTTCCCCTTTTCTATCTTCTGAAGATTTTCATGCAGAGATTTGAGCTGAGCTTAGAGGTAACGGTTCAGACAAAAGAGAAATATTTAGATAAAGATTAATTCCTCCCTTGAGGAATGGTTTTCTGTTAATAGGTTTTTAAAAAGATGCCATTTTCCCACTAATTATTTTTCATTCATTCCAATGTATACAGATTTAACAAATTGCTGATTAAACATTTTGATTGTCTGAAATTTGGTTGATTTTTGTCTGCCCTATATACCTTCTTCTTCTTTTAATGTATTAGTGATGTTAAACATCTTT